CCAGGGCCACTCTGCATCCTCCTTGGCCCTCCCACAGTTCTGAGCGGTTTTCAGTTAAGTTTCGATGATTTAAAGATTGGATCTCACATAGACTTGCAGCAAATTTAAAACAACAACAACAACAAAAAGAAAGGCAACGATTGGATCTGACAATGGCAAAGAAAAAGTCAAAAGAAGACCATTTTTATAAAACATATGAGCTCTTAATCGGGGAGGTCTTGCTACGTGTGCAAAGCCACAGTGGCCCTTCCCTTTGTTTCTTGCTGTCCCTGCCTTTCCCTCAGGGCTGGGTTCCGAGGCTCCTGGTGCCAGGACTCGGTGCCCCCCTATCTCTGCCTTCGAAGGCTCTTGCTTGGAAGAAGATTCTTTCTTTCCATGTGAGTACAACTTTCCCACATCTTTCCATGTTTATTTACACAAAAATCAAGGCTTTCATTGGTTTGTGTGTTGGCAAGCTGGATTTGAGGATGGAAATAAGAGAGAAAAATTGTTTCTGATTTAAATTTATCCATGTTAGAAGTGCATTTGTTGCTGCTATTTCCTATTAAAATGTCTTTTCCTCCCTTCTGAAAGCCTCAAGCCCCCTTGCCTTTGCCTAACACAGGATCTAATTCACTGACTTACTAAACTTTGAGCACCCGCTAGGATAAATTTTTTCCTAACCATTGTTCTTTTTTCCTAACTCTGATCATTGTTATTTTTTAAAAATTTAAAGACTTTTAAAACACTTTAGATAAATAAAAAGCACAAAAATGTTATTATGCCGATTTTACTAGGTAAAATGTAGTTTGCAGTATTGCGGTATGATTGATTATCCAAACACCTGGGGTTTAACCCCTGTCTCTCTCAGAACACTGATTATAGTATCTAAGTTCATTCTAGCCAGGCACTCTCCTAAGCTTTCCACATGCGTTGACCCATTGCAGTTTAACATGGAGATAATCAACCACGATGATAGGTGTAGGACCCCTAACCTGAAAATTCAAAATCTGAAAATGTTGCAAAATCTGAAAATGTTGCAAAATCTGAAAACTATTGATGCGATGCCCAAAGTGGAAAATTCTACCTCTGACCCGATGTGGTAGCTCATGGTAACACAGGTGCACTAATTATATTATAAAAAAGTATCCTTCAGGCTTTGTGCCCAAGGAGAGTACGAAATATAAGTGAATTTCATATTTAGATTTGAGCCTTATATACAAGATATCTCATATCTCAAAATCCAAAATAAGCTCTAAGCATTTCAGATATCTTCGAGCTGTACATTACTAAGTTTAATGTTTTTAAAAATTTACATAAATAATAATTACATTGTATTTCTTACAGCTTGGTATTTTTACTCAAACCATCATTTGTGAGAGTCATTGTGTAGATAGAGTTCCTTCATTATCACTGTTTTTCTCTATTTATTAGAACCTTGTCCTAGAAAACCAATTAATTCATGATTTCCAACTGAGTTGATTCTGTCACAGGGCTGGGGCTTCCAATGAACTGAGGCAGTGTGAAGACCCCCTTCAAACCCCAATTCTTAGGATCAAATCAGAAAGATTTCAGACATGTTGCTTAGAATAACAGCCTGAATTTATTAGAAGGGATGGAAAAAGGGAAAGGGGACTTTCTCAAGGGACACTTTCAGTTTGCCTCTCCTATTCTCCAGTTTAATTGGGGGTTCTGGCGAAGTTTCCAGAGAATACCATTCAGATCTGACTCTTGACTTTTGACAGACAGCAGGATGACATCAGACTTTCAAGTCCTAATGGTGCATGACAGCTCTTGGTCACTTTGGCATGTGCTGATCAGTTCTAATTGGAACTTGTTCTTCCGAGATTTCATGGTTAGGGGGAATTATCCTTTTCTCTCTGAGTTCTGGAATCTGGTCTGTATAAGGGTCACAAAAGTCTTTCCTGCTTTGGGGTAACATATGTTCTTTCTTATCAGCATCTTGGGACCTGCATTTCTCCTGCAGATAACAAGTGGTGGAGAAATGTAACTTATCCTGGGATTTAAGCCAGGCAGAGTGGCAGGTAAATTGCTTTTTTTTTTTTTTTTTTTTTAAAGAGAAAGCATGTGGGAGTCAGCATGGTGAGCCCATTTTAGAGAATTATTCCCTTAACTTCATGTTCCCACCATTCATATCCGTTCCCTATCAATTCTATACTGATTGGATTCTATCCCTTTCTTCTTAAAATTGGGTACAATGAACATTTCATTGGACTTCTATGTTTAGACATATGAAAGTTTCTCTAGGAAATGCCCAGAAATAAATTTGCTTAGATGTGGTAGGGTCCCTTATTTAGCTTTATTATGAATCACTATGCTAATGTTTTTTTTTAACTTTACATTTTAAAAAATAAACAGTTCACTGTATAGTATTTTGTTTGAGTTTGTGCTTCTCTTGCATTTCATTTTTTGAAATCTTTTTATATGTTCTCCCATATTTTCTTCTAAACATGTTGTTTTCTTTTGCTTTTAATATTTACGTATGTGATCAGGCTGAAGTCTAAATGGGTGTGTGGTATGAGGTAAGGGTCTGTATGTAGGGCTTTATTGCTTCCCCACTCTAACTATATTATAAAAAAGTGCCTTGAATGTACAGCTGGCTTTTCCAGCACTGTTTATAGAGAAGTTCATTTTTTCCCCTTTTGTTTTGATTTGAGTATGATCTGTCCCCTCTGAACCTCAAGTTAAACTATAATTCTTACTTTGAGATATTAAGAGATGGGACCTGCCCAACTTTTAAGACTTGATTAGGGCTTTGCCCTTGTGAATGGATCAATCCATTCATGTGATTAATGAGCCAATGGGTTATCTTGACAGTGGTTCTGCTCTAAAAGTCAGTGTGGCTAGGTCTCCCAGGCATTTTTCTGTCTCTCGTTATGTGTTGCCCTATGCTACCTGGGACTCTGCCAGGGAGAAAGTTATTTTCAGATGTGGCCTCTCAACCTTGGACCAGAAAAATGAGCTAAAATTATCCCCTTTTCTTTACTCAGGCTGTGGTGTGGTGTTGTTAGCAACAGAAAATGAAGCAAGCAAACAAACAACAAAACAATCCAACAGCATTTCTGCAATATGCCAGTTTCTTGAAAATATGTTGGTTGCTTTGGCTAGCAGGATGAAAGAGGCATGGGTATGGGGTAGGAAGGTCATCACTAGACCTTGGTCAGGAAAGGGAGAAAAATGTCAGGACACCACTCAAACTTAAGCACATTTCCTGAACCCTACCTGCCAGGTGGGTCTCCTTCCTGGTGCCAGCCCCTGTCTCATGGCTGTATCCTTCTATCATTGAGTCTCTGGGTTCTGTGTTAAGTTGAAGCTTCGGTCTTAGTTTTAAAGAAGTGCTTCATGTATGGGTCATTATAATTGATGCTATTGTTCCTATCTTAAACCCCCAGCTCTGCAAGTTCTACCTCAGTCCTTTATTATTTGGAAACACAAGTGTTGGTCTGTTTCTGTTACTATAACAAAATATCTGGGGTTAGTAAGCTATAAAGCAGAGGTTTATTGAACTCACCATTCTGGAGGTGTAAGAACATGGCACCAGCATTCTGCTGAAATTCTAGTGAAGACCTCAAGGCAGCAAGTCAGTGAATTCTTAAGGAAGAGTGGTCATATAGTGTGTGTGTGTATGTGTGTGTGTGTGTGTGTGTGTGTGTGTGAGAGAGAGAGAGAGAGAGAGAGAGAGAGAGAGAGAGAGAAAGGAGGTTGCCTGTATTATAACAATCCACTCTTACAATAATTAATCCAGTTCAGTGAGATCTAACTAATTCTCACTGGAACTGAATAAACCCCATAACCTAACTACTTCCTAAAGGTATTACTGTCTCTCAACATTGTTACTTTGAGGACTCAAGCCTCAATTTTTTTTTAAGGACAAACCATGTCCTTAAATTTATTCTTTATTATTTTGTTCTTTTCTGAATACTTCAAGTATCCATATTTGTGAAAAGTTTAAATTAGCTTTTGTTTTTAATATTTTTTCTTTAGTTTTAAGTGGACACAATATCTTTATATTACATTTATGTGGCACTGAGGATCGAACTCAGTGCCTCAAGCATGCTAGGTGTGCACTCTACCACTGAGCCACCACCCCAACCCCTAAATTAGCTTTTTTTTTTTTTTTTTGTGCTGGGATTGAATCTATGGGT